TGCTCAGCTCGGGCTGGACTCGAACCGCTGTTGCTCAGAGCTCAAACTCTTGAGCGAGCTCTTAACCAACTGAGCCACTCGGCCGGCCCCTTCCCTTTACTTCTTTAATCATGGTCTCCTTTAGTTCTTTGAATATGTTTATAATGATTACTTTGAAGCCTTTTTCTGTTAAATCTGACATCCGTTTAGTTTCACAGACAGTTTCTGTTGCCTGCTTATGTTTTCTGGTGTAAGGGTCATAATTTCCTTGTTCTTTGCATGCCTTGTAATTTTTTATTGGAAACTGGGCAGTATAGATAATATATTGTAGCAACTTTGAGTGCTGGTCCCTCTTCTCTGGGGCTTGTTATTTTTATTTATTTGTATTTGCTTGGTGACTGGCTGGATTATTTTAGTCAAGTCTATTTCACCCCCATCCCCATTGCCTGCAATGTTAAGCCTCTGATGTTCCTCCTCAGGGAGGTATGGCTTTGTGTATGCCCACAGTCTCCCTGGGATGGCAGTATTGTTGGCAGGGCTGTGTTCCTTTCTTTCCCTGACCATCCAAAGCTCCACTCATGCAGACTGATTGCTCTGTTGTTTCAATCATTCTATGGTGCATACATTGCTCTATAAATGAATCCAGTCAAATTTGGACTCCTTTCAAGGCATAGTTCCATAGGTCAATGTTTGTTATTTGTTCAGACCCTAAGACAGCTCTTCTCAGCAGCCCCTTTCCCTGTTTCTCTTCTGCAAACAAGGTGGACTACATTTTTGCTAGTATCTTGAATCTCTTCCCAATTGCCTTGTACCACAACCTCCACTGTTTTTGAGAGCACCCTTAGGTTTGAACTTCTCTATGTTCTTTTGCAAATGAAGTCAGTTCTGTGGGAAGAGAATAGGAACTATCTGCTTTACAGCCTGCTTCTTCCCGCAGTCAAAATCTCAGCCAGGGCATGGAGCAGGATGGGGACAATGGCACACTTCTTTCTGAGTTACACCCCACTTTAGAGGCTGAGTGTACAGTGGAGAAAGGGCAGTAGCCTGAGGTCTTCTCAGCTTGCCAGACTTGGGTGTGGAATCTCCATTTTATGAGGCACAGCAAGAGCAGTTAGGTCCCCAGCAGTCTTAGCAGCCCTGTACCCACCACAGAGCCTTCATTCCACTGGTGGGAGCTGAGTGAAAGGAGGGAGCCCCCACCTCTCAACCACACTTGCTTGGAACTTATCCTCAGGAACTGGGGCAGGATGAGAAATGCCGGTGTCCTCCTTCTCCAATGGGGAGCCTGTGTACCTGGCTGCAATCTGAAATGGAAGTCCAGGGAGAGAGGGTGTTGTCCTGGTTCAACTGTTACAGATTCTCACTTTCTTACTGAATTTTCATAGACTTCCTTGAATAGCCATTTCTTCATTTACTGTATGCCCTAAGGACTATTTCTAGACACTTTAAGTGATGGTTGTTTTAAAAGTAATTTTTACCAGTTTCACTGGGGAGTGGGTCCGCACAGCTTCTTGTACTCTCATGTAACTGTGTTACCTTTTAACATTAACTTTGCAACTTTCCATTGTTAAATAGAAAGATAATGATTTTTTTATATTGTGTTTTTATTCTGGAATGTTGCTAAAAATCTTATTTAATGGTTCTTTTTGTTCTGTTGGGGTCATACACACACACACTTGTTACAACTATGCATAATTATAACATTTTATTCTTTAGTAATTATTGCACATTTGTTTATTTTCAGGTGACACTGGATTGGATCTGTAGTATAATGTTGACTAGGAGTGAGGCAGTGGGAATCTAGGCTTGTCCCTTTTTTGGTAGAAAACAATTAACTTCATATCATTTGTATGTTCATTTTTGAACAGTCTTTTTTCAGTATGCCCTTTATTGGGCTATGCATATTACTGTCTGTTCCCAAATGCTATGAGGTTTATTTTTCATGTATTTCTGTTGACTATTACAAAATGATTCTCTATAACTTTTAAGATGATTTCAAGTATATTATATTAATTTTTTATAGGTTTTATTGCAAAGTATAACATACATGCAGAAAAGTACATAAGACATATATGTATAGTCCATGGAAGTACTCAAACATGAACACTTACTAAATAAAATCCAGCCCTAGATCTAAACCAGGGGTCGGCAAATTTTGGGGGCAGAAGAGCTGCCAGGGGTCAGCAAACTGTGGCTCGTGGGCATGTGGCTCTGAAGTAAAATTGAAAATGAAAATAAAAGTATCATAGTTTCATTTATAAAATTTTTACAGGATATTATTCACATAATGGTGATTATGTAAAAATATATTTATGGCTCTCGAATAATTTTTAAATTGTT